GTTATGATAGATTGCTTAAGATTTTTGATTTTATTTATTTTAAGTATCCTTATAATGGGATTTATGAAAATTTTTTGTTTATATGATTCCATTGATAGCAATATTGGAAAATAGATTTGATTCTTTCGTTTGTGGTAGTGTCATAATTTACCAAATAAGGAAAGATTTTCATCACCCAAGTTTCAGTTGGATAGAAACTTGGAATCATGCAACTTGTATTGTATGATGAATGAGAATTTTCATCTTTGAGAAATTAAGAAAAATTTCTTGTTCACATGTATATTTGAGTCAAGTGAAGGACTTGGAGATCGGGTACACTTCGTTGTGCGCTGATCAGGTCCACCACAAAGAACGATAAGGCTATTCGTCATGGTTTACTAAAGTTTAGTAATATGGTTATGCTTACAAGTTTAAGTATAATTCTGAAACATTTGAAAAGTTTCAATGTATGGCAGGACGAATGAGAAGAATCAAATTAGGCAGAAAGATAAAAGTTTCTCCAATCTGAAAAGATGGAAGAGTACTTCAGTATTATGTTTTATGATCATCCTAATGATTATGAAAAACCATATCACAATTGATCCTCTACTAGAAAAACAACCTTTTACGACGCGCAAATGCACGTCAAGGAAGGCCCAGTCATAACGAAAGACGACACGCTTTTGCGCGTCGTCTATTTACCACGCGCATTTACAACACGCATTTACGACGCTCATTTACGACACACAATGCGTATCAAGGAAGCCCCTATCATAAAGGAAGACGACACACATTTGCGTGTCGTAAACTTACGACGCACGTTTAGGACACGCATTGCGTATCATTAAATCCCTTGTCATAAATAAAGATGACACATATTTGCGTGTCATAATTTTGAATGTTTTAAAAATATATATTTTTGATAGAATTACTAATTTTCAAATTAAACAACAGATTGAAATTATCATAATACAAAATAAAATACCATACATAAGAACGATAATTCATTTCAAAAAAATATCACATGTTAAACAAGTTACCTAACATTACATGTCAAACAACACTACATGTAAACAACACTTAAAAACATGTTTTTTCCTGCATTTGGAGCACCCACTATTCCTATATCAGCAACCAACTTTAGGTCCAATTCCAACCACCTGTAAAAGAACAACATTGTAAGAGAACAACATTAGAAGTGATTAATGATTCAGTGTTATGGAAATTGATTTAATGATGTAAAAAATTGAAAGTGACCCTAGAGAGCATAGGTGCCTACGCTTTGACAGCATGGAGATATTCATACCTGTCCCATAAACTGCCCTCCATACACTTTAGCAGATTTTGGAGCTCCTTTTATGTGACAACCCGAAATTTTCATTTGTATAATTTCCAGAGTCAAACACTTCAAATATTAGATAAAAACATTTCAGTACATTTTTGGCCGGATTTAAACCCGTTTGGTGTTTTATTTTAGTTTTTCGTTAAACGATTTAATAAATGGAAGTGACGTAATTAGTGGCGTTTAATAAACCGGGCAACCCGACACCTTAGCTAGGTGTTCACGGCCAAACATGGGGTGTTTGGGCCGTAAACACCCTTTCCCCATGCACTCATGCTTATAACATGGGTTTACCCCTTGCCCTCACTTTTTACCACCTTCCACTCAAGAACACAAGTTTTTCTCTCAAGTATCATCATCTTCTTCTTCCAAATCCGCCCAAAAATGTAAGTTTTCTTCCTAGATCCTTTTAAACAACACTTAATCTAGTGTTTCTACACCTTCTCATCCAAAGGATTCCGATTTTTACTTAGATCTTCAAAGAATCTTCAAATCTTCAAGAACACCAAGAACACATTTGCGTTTTCGGGTCCTAAAACACCTCTACAAGCTTCCTATAAGTAAGTATACTTCATCTAACTAGTTATTGGCTTAGTATTCATGGATTAAACACCCAAAAACCCCAAGAACATGGGTTTACGGTTTTGGAACATTCCAAAACCGTAAACACCCCAAAGAAGGGTTTTGAAGCTCCAAACTCCTTCCAATACTTGAGTAATGAACTAAGGACTTACATGCATGAACTAGGAACCCCAAAAAATGTGTAAGGATGAGACAAACATGAGTTTACGGTCTGGGAAGGCCTCCCAAAACCGTAAACACCTTCTAAGAATGTTTAAGTGCCTTAAAAACCTTCATATGCTTGTGTAAGTGACTAGAACCTTGCATGCATAGCCTAGAACCACCAAAACACAAGAGAAATGAACCAACATGAGTTTACGACCGTAAACTCATGTGTTTATGGCCGTAAACTCCCAAGGGAGTGGTCCAAGGACCGTAAACTCCAAGAAATGTCCATTTCTAGCCCCAATCACTTCCTAAGCCATGGATTCGAGTCTAGCACAATTCCTTGAGTAGTTTAAGACCTTTGAACACCCAATGGCACCATTACCATGAGTTTACGGCCGTAAACTCATGGGGACAATGGTCCAGAAACCGTAAACACACTTAGGTGTAACCAATTGAAGTGTAAACTCCATAGTGAGGCCATACACTCCTTAGATGCAACTTTTAGCACTCCTTGCACTTGAAACAAAGTGTCTTCATACATTAGAGTGTCTTTACTTACCTAATTAGTGATTAAATAACTAATTAGATACATTTATGTATCACTACATGTTACATAGGATCCGTATGTGTGTTCAAATCCTCACTTGACACCTAGCATCCTACCCGACACTTCCATCCACTTCACTCATTGCAGGTGAGTTCATACCCCTTAATTAACCTTTTAAATGTTTTTAAATGCTTTTATGGGGGGGGGGGGGAATATAAGTTGAATCAAATAAGTTATAGTATCAATCACATGTGATTTATAACTTGCAACCAAAAAGGATTTTCTATATTTGCCACTGCTTTGTCAACCAAACTGTTTCAAATGATTATCAAATTCATTTGTATGTTAAATTGTTATAAAACTATTTCCAAACTCTTTTAAACTCTTTTTATTCTCAAACAATGTCTACACTAATATATTTATATAAGTAAGATTTGAAGGACTTAGGACTAATAGCTCATCTTATTTCATGTTCTTGTTTGATTGTGGGCTTAGGGTATTTTGTTATTAGTCCGACTCTCGTTGAATTCTTAGTTATATATCTTATATATTTGTGTCAGATATAAAAGTTTCATATCAGTTTCAATGCCTTTGGGTATCAAAGGCATGCAATCAACATTACTACATAACTATAATAGGTATAGTTAAGGATTACTACTCAATACTACTATTGCCATGACAACTACCATAGTCAGTGCTGTTATGAGTTAATACATGTTAAATACTATATACAAGGAGAATACTATATACAAAGAGAATACTATATACAAAGAGAATACTATACATTATGCAAGAGAACAATCTATACGTTATACTAGAAAGTACATTATACATTACACAAGAGAACTTACTAAAATTGAATGTGACATACTATTTCTCGATACGACACGTCTTTGTGCTATCACCGCGTAACCAGAGTCTCCTGGAGGGAGAGCGGGCATTATGTGTATAGATCTATACGGGACAGACACTCCCACATCCCAACTGCTAGCTACAGTCCGAGCCGACTAGGCCCAGGGGTGACAAAATGTCACATTTCTACAGATGACTCGGAGGGTCATCAGGGATTCGATCGTCAATCAGCATGGTTACATACAAGTTCACATTTCGACCTTTAATTAATACATTAAGAATTAAAGGCAAAACAGACTCCCCGAAGTGTATTGTACATCTAATACTACCTGGAGTCTGTATTTTCATTTCATTAGCTGGCAGTGATACTGCTGGAGTAAAACACTATTTTTCCAATTACTTTACATGAATGAAGTCTAAAACTATATTTTCCTACTGATAGTTTCTCTGGGAAAACTTTTACATTTTCAATGGATCAAACATACATACAACCGGGTCTTGGTAGAAGACCACTTTTACTGGAAAACATAGGGTTTTCCTAGGGAGCATACTATTTTCCAACATTGAGATCAATTATTATACTGCATAGTTGTAATCATTTTTATACAAGCAATGACACTAAATACTCATGAACTCACCAGCTTTATGCTGATACTCGCTTTCAAAATAACTTGTATTCTCAGGTCATCAGTAGACAGGTACATATGCAGCTTTTGAGAAGATGGAGCACATACAAGACTCCTCTTTATTTTGAATATACTTTTGGTGTCTAACAAACTGTACATAACACGCTTGTATTACAATTATTATATTAATGCAATGGATGTTGTTGCTTGTCTTTACTATTATACATTGTTATGATACTGTACATGACGTCCTCTACTCCAGAACGTATTCCGCCGTTCTCGGTTTTGGGGTGTGACATTTTAAGGTGAGTCCTCTGAATGTGTTCACCTTCACAAATAAATATAGGAGGAAAAGAATAGTTAAGACTCACCATTAACATAGTGACAAATATTTATGAAGTTGACATTCATTAGAAATAGTCGGTTGCACTCAATATTGTTGAAAATGAGGGTTTGTATTAGTTTAATTACTGTAGGAATTGTTTAATATATGAGTTACTTTAAAAACTATGAAACAATATTCTTTGGTTCGCCAATTAGTCTGTATTTAAAATTCAATTATTTCGGTTGAACTAAACCATCAAAAGTGCTTGTAATGTTAAGTGTGGAGAATGATTTATTACCAGCAGTGCTTAACTACTAAGAAACCAAAAGTGCTTAAGCATTAAGCACATCTTAAGCAGCATGCAGTCAACACTTCTTAAGCAGTCAGCAGTGAATACTACTTAAGAAGATAGCAGTGCTTAAGCAAATACTAGTGCTTAAGCGGTCAGCGGTGCTCAAGCAGCAAGCAAGTGGTCAGCAGTGCTCGAGCAGCGGGACACCAAGAAACACCCTTCAACCGTGTATTTATAAAAATAACAATTAAACCAAAAGTTCAGAGTTGTAAATAGTTGAGACTCACCATTAACATGCTTTTTCGACATCACAACCAGTAAGGTGCTTTTTCCACCCTTGCTGGCCATTCTTTTGGCCATTGGGACCCACGCACTTCTGCACCTATTGGTACCTTATGCATGCATGTTTGCAGAGGTACTTTCCTAAACATTTTTATATGTTACATTTCTTACTCCTTTTTAATATGAATAAAAAGTAATAAAGAAAATAAAGAAATCAAATACCATGCAGCATTTGGATCATCGGATTCATTGGAGAGTGGAGGGTCATTTTGGGGTCTTCCTTCATAGCATTCATTAGACATGGGCTTTTGATAAACAACAACTCCCACTTTATTTACTTTATCCTTATTAACAACTATAAGTTCCCAACACATTGCCTTTGTTAACTTTGTCATGGCTGCCAAATTTGAAAATTAGAAAAATGTTAAAAGTTAATATTTTTAAAAACTAATAAATAAAAAAGAGAAGGGAAATACCTTCCCAAATCTCAACATCTTCTGGAAGTTTCTGATTGATTGGAGTAGCAGACAAAACAAAGTAGCCACCAGGTCGTAGGAGACGATTCAGCTCTAAAAGAAGTTTACCACCTAAAGATAATAATAATAATAGAAAATTAATTAATTAATTACAAATATGTAAGGAAAAATACAAATTTATTATATTTTCCATTTCATGATCATCGTTGGTTTTGCCTGTAGGAATGGAAATACACCTTACAGTTTTTAATTCTACTCTATACATTATTTAGTTATAAGCAGAAATAAAAAAGTTAAAACGGAAAGAATCATATTCCTTCACGAGTGTTCCATTCCATTCCTTCCCCTGATTCCATGAAAGGAAGAAAGAAAGAAGAAAATACGTTCAATATGCCAAGGAAGTCTGCAACGTGCACAATTTCTCCGTTTCCAATAGAAGACATGAAATGTTACTTGTTGAAATTGAAATTGACATGAACAACATAGCGCATTCTGATTTGATCGACATTGTAAGCAATATACTCATTGTATAATAAGATAGTCTGCAATAGATTCAGAAGATTCGTCATCATAAATCATAATAACCAAAGTAACACTAGAAAGAAAAGTAGGTGATAGTGATATAAAGTATAAAGAGGAGTTGAGTTGACATTTGAAGTCAGCTGCTTTTTGGGGTGTCCTATGGGAACAACAACACCATCCTCCAGTGTCTTAATCTCTGACATATCAGGGGCAGTATCCCCAACTCCTTTCGTATTGACACCACACCACACAACACACAAAAGCCTTTTTATACAAAATCACAGTAAAGTCTTTTTTATTTAATAATTCATTTATGCCCTGTTTTAGGTAACTAATATCTTTTGCATACCTTACACAGTAGAGAAGAAAGAATGTTTACTGTTTTTTTGTTAGTATCTTATTGAGGTGAGGTGATGAGAAAGAAGCAGATATGGATAATATTAAATAGTACCTTAGCTTTCCTTGTGGCAACTTGTCAGCATCATATTTAGCTATTAGTAGCTCAGCCATCTCCCCAAGTGCAACCTAATTAAAAAAAACGAGTTAGAGCCTTTTTGGAAAATTGATATGATATGGTAAAAGAGAAAAGAGAAGATCACCTTTTATGCTTCTATAAAATTAATGAGTAATATGAAATTTAGTTTTTGAAGGGTAAAATGGTCATTTAGTCTTGTTTAGACAGTTAAGATTATATTGGTATGAGAAATAACCTATAATAGCTAGCTCTTTGGCCAAATAATAATCTCAACATTTTCTTGAGTGAATCTACCTCAAATTCTTTACCCTGAAATCGAAAACATGATCCTAATCAGATTTCCAAAAAAAAAAGATAATTCAATAAATCCTACTGTGTTCCAACAAGAGAAACCCAAGCAACCAATACATAGAGCATCAAAAACAGACATAATGGAGTACCTTTCTTTTTTTCTTTTCTTTGTATTTCTCGTTCCTTTAACCTGATGTGAAATAGATTAACCTTTATTTGTATTCCTCCCCACCCTTGCCACGTGCAAGTTTCATGTATCCTTTATCTCCCCAACCTTCTCCCCAAGAGTTCTTAATTAACCAATAATTTTGTCCATCAGGGGTTTCATCAAATCCAACCACTGCTACAACATGAATTGGTATTGGCCCACACGATCCCTCATAAACCCCATGTTAATTCGTATTATAATCAACAAAAACTTCAACCATATTGCTGATCTCGACTCATTCACCCATGGAAGAGTAAGGTCTACACTGATCCTAATTACAATTGGTACTAAGCTTATCCAGAAACAGAACGAGATAAAACAAGTGATATTGCAAATTGAACAGAAAGGTGAATTCCGGAGAAGAGGAAACCTTGCTGGGCTTAGAAGCGCCCTAGTTTGAAAAAACACCGAGAGACCAAAGTCAGTAGCTTTCAATAGCGAATCTTCATCGGTACTCAAGAACAAAAAGTTCTCAGGTTTTAAGTCTCAATGGAACACTCCCATCGTATGACAATCATGCACCACCGTCACCATCTACCGGCAGAGGCCAGCTGCCGCACGCTCTGAATAATATCCCTTAGCTATAATCTGATCAAATAGCTCCCCGCCGGCGCACAACTCCATGATTAGGCTAACAGAGTGCCGATCCTAGTAATTTGGAAGATAGATGGTGATGGGGAAGAATGGTCGTCTTTCATTGGAATTCAACGGCGGTGGGAGACACTCGGAAGTGTCAAAGAAGCAGCTGATGGCGGAAGGTGAATGGAGGTTTGAGAATCGAGAGAGAAGAAAGGAATAAAGAAAGGGGGTTTTCGGCAGGGATGAGCTAGGGTTTTCAGCCGGTGGAAACAAAGCGGGCTTTTTAATTTTTGGATTTCATTTCCCCCCTTGGATGAAACGCGCGTTTCATTAAAATTTATAAAGCGACATGGTTAGACGACACACATTTTATTGAAGGTGCCCTCCGTGTTTTTTTTATTAGACACTAATTTTAGGGCACGCAAAAATGCGTGTCCTCTATGCTTCATATTTTGGAAAACTGACATCAATTTTTTGGGTACGCACAAATGTGTGTCCTCTATCAGCGCATGTCATTGATTACGCTTCGTAAAAGGCTATTTTTCTAGTAGTAAGGACATCTTAGTGCATTTGTTTGAGTAAGAAGAGGAATCGTGAATTGTTGAAATGGTTAAATCAAAAGATGAATGATACTTTGTTCCAAAATTGAGTCTTAAAGTAATACTCCGAGATTGTAACTCGAGTGACATAATCTTAACAAGGTTTAAAACACTTATCAAATGTAGAGTAAAATGTTTCCTACTCTTGTACGTTTGAAATTGGTAAGTTGTGATGTCTTGGATAAGACAAACACCAACTAAGACCAATTGTGTGAAGTGTTTTTCTTGATTAGAATCAACACTAACTCTTCAATATTTGTTTTGTCAAGGAATGGTTCTTGACATGAGAAACATATAGTCAAGAGGTCAGTGGGAGTTTTAAAGATCTTGAAAAAATTTCAAGAACTAATCAAGAATAAAACTTGTTGTTTATCACTAGCACACGACTTGAGGTTTGTAACCTATCGTGTTGACATATTCTTGTTTCTGTTCCCATTGCAGTTAAAGTTGACTATGCATATGAGTTCTATGAGTTCTCAATTGTTTACATAACAACCTGGAAGCAATGGAGGCCTTTGTGCTGCCGGGTGGCAAGAAAACTAAGATTAAACAAGTTCAGTCCATATGAGTTTGGATTTGTCACTAACCTTGTCTTGTGATTATGGTTATGAAAAATTTACATGGATAGGAACACATACACCATAAAAATCTAAGCGTCATAAGGTTTCTCTCCGATTCATGAAAATGATGGTGAGGAAACACTTTCACTAAGTAGATAGCAATTGTGATATTTGCATTCTCAAAGTCGTTAGTAGAGCGTGTGTGGTTAATCGACACACTAACATGGACTAGTGAGAATGGCAAAAGGTCTAAACATTATGTCACACCCCAAAACCGGAACGGCGGAATCGCTCGGGGGTGGAGGACGTCATGTATAGTATCACAACAATGCATAGTAGTAAACAAGCAACAACATCATCCATTGCATTAATAATATAATTTTAATACAAGTGTGTTCTGTCAAGTTAATAGACACCAAAAATATATGTATCAAAATAAAAGATGAGTCTTGAACGAGCTTCATCTTCTCAAAACCTGGCACGCGTACCTGTCTACTGGTGACCTGAGAATACAAGTTATTTTGAAAGAGTTTATCAGCTTTAAGCTGGTGAGATCATAAGTATATTAGTGTCTGTGTTTGTATGAAAGTGTTGTTAAGTATGTATGTATAAGTTTGAAATGTTTGTAATTGTTGAACTCTCCTAGAAAACCCTATGTTTTATTACTAAAAGTAGCCTTCTCCAAGGCATCTAGTGTTTGTATGTGTGTCTCTTGTAAGAGTATGTATTTTCCCAAATCTGACTATCATTAACCAAAATATAGTTTTACATTACTGTTCATTGTGTGAAGATCACAAAGTGAATGCGATGGGAAAATGAAATAGTATGTAGTGTTTGTATTAAGTAACTACTGCTGTACTAACTACCTTAAACCAATTGTTATTTAAAGTACCATGTGATCGGCCTGTACCATACTACTGACATAAACACGACGATGTGAGACGTCGGAAGAAATGACGTTTGGCACCCGTAGACTTGCAAGTCCCACTGTAGCGAGCAACAAGGTGTAGGATAGTCAATCCAGTATAGATCTATACACAAACTCAACGCTCTCCATTTAAGGAGATTCTGGATACAAAACGGGCCATGACAGGTGATGTCATGCCCCGTTACGTGGCTCACATAACTGTATTAGTGCACTTGTGATGTATTGTATGTACTAGCTGTATTGTATGTTCTCTCTCTGTCTAGTATGTATGTATGTTCTCTCTGTATGGTATTGTTTGTTTCTCATCATAGTATTCTCTATCTATATGTTATGTTCTCTCTGTATGGTATTGTTTGTTCTCTCTATATGGTATTGACTCATGTATGAACTGACTCTTTGTATGTTTCATTGTTCTAGTAATAGTATTAGTATCTTCCTAAACTATACCTATTATAGCTTACTAGTACTGTTGTTTGAATGTATGAACATGTTTGTATACTTTGCTACCCAAAGGTATTGAATGAAAGAAGGAGGTAACCGTTTATATCTATATACATATACTGATATATGACTAGGATTAAAACGACCTTCGGACAAACAACTGATACCCTAAGTCCACAACCAAACAAGGAACAAGAGGTAAGGTGAGCTATCAGTCCTAACTCCTTTAAATCCTAATTATATAACTATATCTATATAGATACACATTTAACAGAATATAAGTTTAAAAGAGTTTAATAAAAGTATTTGACATGTAAAAGAGTTTGATAAAACAGTTTGAAGTAAAACAGTTTGATAACACAGTTTGAAAAGTAAGAAATCCACTTGTTTGGTAGTTATTAATCACATGTGATTGATATAATAACTATAATAGTTCAACTTGTCCCCCCCCCCCCCCCATAAAAGCATTTAAAATCATTTAAAGGTTGATTAAGGGTATGAACTCACCTGTAGTGAGTGGTTGTGGGATGAACGGATTGTTATAGGATGCTAAGTGTCAAGTGAAGACTTGAGCACACACAAGGATCCTAGTTAACATATAATAACACATATATGTATCCAATTATTCATTAAACAACTAATTACCCAAGTTAAGACATCTTAAGACATGTAAAACACTTGATTTAAGTGCTATAAGTACTAAGGATTGCATCTAAGGGTTGTAGGGCTTGGCTATTGAGTTTAGGGTCCAAGGGTAAACTCTTTATGAGTTTACGGTTTTGGGACCAACTCCCTTGGAGTTTATGGTCGTAAACCCATACGTTTACAGCCGTAAACTCATGGTACTTCTACCATTTTGTGTTTTGAAGCTTTATAAGTCATAAGGAAGCATCCTACTTCAAGTATAAGCCTTAGGAAGTGATTGTGGCATCATTTCACCCCTTTGTAGAGTTTACGGCCCATGGACCATTTCTCCATGAGTTTACGGTCGTAAACTCTAATGGTCCTTGATGTTTTTGATGTTTAAGGTCCTAAGCACTTTAAGGATATGATCTAGACTAGTATCCAAGGCTTGGTAAGGGACTAGGGACACAATGGCCCCTTCATTAGGGTTTACGGTCCAAGAACATGTTTGGACCGTAAACACCTTTGATCTTGTAATTCTTTGTGTTTTCTAGATGATTAAGAAGTGTAACAAGCCTTATAACAAGCCAAGGTAAGATTACTTACTATGTAGAAGCTTGAAAGGGTGTTAAAAGTCTAATAACACTAGTGTGTGTTCTTGGTGTTCTTGGTGAAACTAAGAACACTTGAAGATCTACACAAATGGAATGATTTTCACGGATGGAATCATGTAAGTCACTGGCAAGAAACACTTACAAAGTTGAAGATCAAGAAGGAAAATTGGATGATACTTGAGAGGATTTGAGTTCTAGTTCTTGAAAGTGTGAAAAAGTGTTAAAAATGGCTAAGTGCCATATTTATACCCATTGGGATTTACGACCATAAACACCATGCTTAGGCCGTAAACTCCAAACTCTTGGAGTTTTGGGACTTTATTGTTGCACAATAAACCCTAGGGTATCCTCTCTCCTGTTATCTCTTGAAGTACTAAGCTTTAAAACACTCAGACTGACTCCAAAATGCTTAACAGTTAGCAGAAACAGTTTTGACTTCTGTTGAAGTGAATGATTGTACATAATAGAAATTTCGGGTTGTCACACATTATGATTTCGGCATACCTCTTCGTAAGAGTTTAGACACACATGTGAGCTATCTAAGGAAAAGTGTATGATTTTGATAAAGTCTTATCGAAGCATCTCGTATGAGAAACCTGAACTTTGGTAATGAAAGTCAATAAATTATTGATTTCTAGAAGTCCAGCTGATTTCCGGATACATGTCAAAGCTAGTGGGAGCATAAGTGTTATGCTAATAATTATCATGTTAGTGGGAGCATGATTATTATGTTAGGTGTTGCAAGTTAGCAATGTTAATTATAGAAAACAGAAGTGTCAATTTGCAAAGTTGCAGGGTTTGGAAAGTTGTTTTGCTAAAATTAAGGGAGAGGAAATTATACTTCATTCCAATTCTAAAAGCTTAGATTGTGAGTCTTTAATAAAAATTAGTCATGATTACATTAATTGCGTTCTCAAAAATTTGATTATGATTACGGCATCCCTCTTCATAGTCCGAATTGTGAGAACATGGCAAATAGAAAAAATTATAGCAAAAGACTGGTCTAGTATATGTCTTTATGTGAGACATTATGAATCATATCCCATATGCTTCGGGTATAGGATCGATTGCATATGCTATAATATTTCTATGTGTTCTGAATTTTCCAAATGCCTAGGGAATTAAGAGGGAAAAAGGACCAGAACTGTATATGACTAAAATGATTAAGCAATTGTCGAGGACAATATGAGGCTTACCAAATATTGGTTGCTCATGGACAGTTGGTAGTATAGTGTTAATTTTGGAAGGACCATATTGACATATTCTGAAAAGAGGCAAC